TCAATCTTTTTGAACTTTCAATTAGTGCAAAAGAATCAGCGAAAAATCTGCATTGAATCATACATATGGCTAACTAGTCTGGAGAAATCAAAAAAGTGGCCCAAAACGTGGTCTTCGACGCCCCCCTTCTTTCAAAAAAAAATGCAGAAATAAAAAAATAGGTCGTATATTAGCGACCTCTACGACCTTTATGGAAAAACAATATTTTTCTTAGATTTGGCAGATTCAAATTTATTTAAAAGTATGTATTCGGAGTCTATAACCTTTTAGCTATCGATTCCGAAGAAAATGCATTGTTTGCGGACTTAAGTGTCTGAAAAAGAATTTTTTCTTTCCACGCGATGTGTTCCCTAAATGGCTATTGTGCATTAAAATAAGCGCGCCATCGTTAGCCATCATCGAAATACGACGAAACTTTACGGAATATTCTTCTACTCACAATACAACTATACTGCTAGCCCAAAATAGCCCAAATGATTCTGAGCTGAGTTATAGGTTTCTCAAAAAACCCCAAAATTCCTTGGTTTTTTAGATAAACGCTATTTTTCTCGATTCAGAAACATTTTTATTAGAAAGTAATGCGATATTTGGAATCAGCGCACGAAACTGCATCGAATGATGTATAATTTGTCAGGTTCTCAAATAAAAAGTTTTTTGACCAAAATTTAGGGCAAGGGTTCCCCTCAGGGATTTTTGATCAAAAATATTTTTTTTAAATTCACTTTTTTTCTGGCTATCATTTTTTTCTGAGTAGTAGAAACTCATATTTCTATGAAAAAAAATGCGATTTTGACAGAGAATAAGTCATGTCCACATGCTCTATAGAAATTGCCCACTGTGCGAATGTCACAATGATCCATGTGACTAGAGCTCTGCAGAGATTACACTAAAAGTTTTTGATTAACAAATGAAAATGCGTTTCACTTCGCTCATTTGCATTAACAATCGAAGTTAAAATAGAATAGAATTTTTCTCCAAGAAAACATACCTGGTGGTCCGTACATGATAAAACCTCTGTTCGGTTTGATCAGATCTCGATCTAATCCCTTGTTATCATGGATGTATCGCTCTTTCCAGCCCTGGTCGATCCTATCGAGAAGAATTTTAATCGCCTCAATTCGAGCTTGCAGATCGTGTCGGTCGATCACGAGTTGTTTCATTGCGTTTTCATGTACGTCCAATAGTTCTCGTACGGAAGAGCGTCCGTGGCCTTCTACACGGTGCGATCCACTTGACAATTGTCTTTGAAAATTCATCTCTCGATTGAATTTTGTAATCGAATCATCATGACGATAGTATTGATCTACGTTTTCAACCAATTCTCTGTGCAACTTTTCTTGTTCTGCCAATAATCGACCTCGATCTGGAGATTGAAGTCTTGATATTGAAAGCAATTGTGACTCGTCGATAGACAAATCTTCTTCGATCATAGTTAGTGGAAGAAAGAACAATTTCATTTGATCAAAAAGTCCATCATCAGCAAAACCTTCTTGACGCATTTCATCGAATGATAAACGAACGCACTCATCATCCAATTTGGCCGGAGTCAAAATTCCAACGGCAGCAAATTCATGAGCCAATATAAAATGAAAGTACAATTTAATTTGATGGATGTACGCGCGTAGCTCTGATGCAGATTCTAGAAATAAAAAAGCGATGTACAGGGACCTCCAAAACATTGGTCGCGCTGAATTTCTGACTTTTCCTGTGTACATGCATTTCTGCAAAACTTCAGAAGTTTTTTTTAAAATTTCTATATGATTAGACAGAATATTGATTACTCTATCCAACCGTATAGTTTCCCTTTGATTTATTTTGTATATTGATTTTTAAAAAATCGAAAAATTTCTAAAACTAGCTAAACAACACTTTTGCACTCGCATACTTCACTCGGGCTACTCACGAATGCCTTTGTTTGAGTTTGATTGTTGTGCATTCGCAGTTGTTTTAGCATCGCTGGCCAT